AACTTGTCCGCAACTTTCAACTCGGGAGCCACAAAAGCTAGGAAGCTGAAAATTTAGGGGAACGTCTCCCACCCACGTGTGACCCCGGAAATTTAAATTCAGCTTCCCCGTACCCGCAGGTAACGCGTACGGCCCCGTGAAAGTTTTTTAGGGGTAAGTTAATATCTCGGGAGCCACGGAATCTAGGAAGCTGAAATTTTAGGGGAATGACCCCCTGCTCCCGCTCAACCTTGCCCGTCCAAATTCAGCCGTTCTCGCGCTCTCGGGTACCACCTAACGGCCCCGTGAGATTTTTGACGGGTAAACTATTAACTCGGGAATCACGGAAAGATATTCATCCTTCAAGGTTTCGAATTCAGCTTTCATGCGTTGGTGCGTGAAATTTTTAACTGTTTTCCAATGTTTGAACTATTTTTGGATCAGACTAAAGTACAGAGCAGTGAAAATCATTAATAGGCAATCGTTCGATGGGCTGAATTGCACAATACTCATGATCGCACCGGCTAGTCTGGTGCGCGTTGCTATCTATCAAATATTATTATCTTGGAGGTATGAAGTTTAGGATCGAAGAGCATATTTGCGCCCAGTGTGTGCAAACATCCCAATAAAATCACTAAGATGGGATACTCCAGGCGATTTTGGTATTTTTGGCAAGGAAAAATCATTTTTGATATAGCATTACTGCTGGCATAGTGCTAATTGTAAGGAATAACTACTTATTTTTCGTCTTCCAAATAATGATCACTGTCACTCTTCTGCTTCTTCAGCTCTCCCCCTGCACGTTATCAATGCTATCCTACCAGTTTATGAGTCAACTTGTGAGAATTCTCACAGCTGCTACTCTAAAAACATCCGGTCGGTTAGCAAGCATCCATTTCAGGTAATCGCAGAAGTCCAGCGAAAAGCCGGTAAAACTTGCAAAAAGTACGCGCCGTACATCATATCAGGGTCAGGCAGTATAGTGCAGTATGTGTGCGAATGATATACATACAGATATAGCGTTCTGATTGCTCGTGCGGAACACGATAGCCTGTAGTGTAACGGGCAACATGTCACGATTCGAAGGATCCGGAGATAATGAAAATGAGCGATCCGGTTCTTTTCCCGGTCTATGTTCTTTTCCCGCAAAAGCAGACTACTTCGCAATACAGTTTCCCCTCCCCCTCCCCTTTCTCACACCCTTATATTTGCTATCGTTCCGGATGTACGTAGATGAACTTTCCATGGTTCCGCGCTCATTCAAGCTGT